AGTTAAGTCAGCTCAGATGCGCTCAGCGAAGACGGGGATGCATGAATGGAGGATGGGAAGAATGAGCGGTAGCCCCGCGAGGTACGAGCGGGGCGGTAGCCTTTCTTCACACCGGAGTACTGGTGCATCCAGCCCTCACACACAGAGTCTGGCTCTGCTGTGAAAACGAAAGAGGACGTACGCGCCTACTTTCAAGACAACGCGTTCCTACGACGTGCCTATGGCTGAGCCGCCCAATGGCGCTCGCCCACTTGCCTACCACAGCCGAGCGCCTCGCGCCCGGCTCTGGGCCCCGCGACAACGCTTCGCGCACCCACCGACCTTCCCCTTCTCTGCCACCATGCAGGGCGTGAGGGCGATGGCGTCAAACCTCGCCTGTTCACATCTATCATTCACAGGTCGCTCACAGAGCACCTGTCGCGTGTGTCGCCCCCCCGCGCTCTGCGCTCGCTGGGCGCCCATCGCAGACGATCGAGGGCGGGGGCACGCCCACGATAATGACCCAATGACGATCGGCCCCCCGCGCTAGCCGCTCGCTGGGTGCCTCTCGCCGACGATCGAGGGCGTGGCACGCCCACGACAGCAACTCAATGATAGCGTCGGAGCCTTGCCTATTCACTCGCACCCTCCCGAGTGCCCTCGGGGCGCACTGCATCGCTCGCGACGTGCCGCCGTGTGGCGCGCGACGCAAACCAGAGACAGCTGCTCGGGTCGATCGAGCGCGATGCTTGGCTCCGCCGCGCTGAGCGACCTCTCGGCGCGCCACACATGCGCTCGCCGCCTTCGCGAGGCGCCCTGCGCCTCCTCTACACGCACCGCACGCCTTCGCGCCGCGTGCCTTTGGCGAGAAGGCCGCCTGCAGCCGCAGCCGCCTCTCCGCCTCTCACACGAGCATGCCTCATCTCGGCATACTCAGACGTTCATAGCGGCCGCCCGCTCGAGCGCGCCCCGCGCCTCGCTAGGGCTCACCGTGCCGCTGTAGCGCGCCCCTCAGCCGCACAGGCACCCTCCCGAGTGCCCTCGGGGCGCTTCATCGCCCGCGACGCGCCGCCGTGTGGCGCGAGATGCAGACCAGAGGCGGCTGCTCGAGTCGATCGAGCACGACGCTCTACTTCGCTGCGTCGAACGACCTCTCGGCGCGCCACACATGCGCTGGCCGCCTTCGCGAGGCGGGCCGCGCCTCCTCTACACGCACCGCACGCCTTCGCGCCGCGTGCCTTTGGCGAGAAGGCCGCCTGCAGCCGCAGCCGCCTCTCCGCCTCTCACACGAGCATGCCTCATCTCGGCATACCCAGAGACTCATAGCGGCCGCCCGCTCGAGCGCGCCCCGCGCCTCGCTAGGGCTCACCGTGCCGCTGTAGCGCGCCCCTCAGCCAGACAGGCACCCTCCCGAGTGCCCTCGAGGCGCTTCATCGCCCGCGACGCGCTGCCGTGTGGCGCACGACGCAAACCAGAGGCAGCTGCTCGAGTCGATCGAGCGCGACGCTCTACTTCGCTGCGTCGAACGACCTCTCGGCGCGCCACACATGCGCTGGCCGCCTTCGCGAGGCGGGCCGCGCCTCCTCTACACGCACCGCACGCCTTCGCGTCACGTGCCTTTGGCGAGAAGGCCGCCTGCAGCCGCAGCCGCCTCGCCGCCTCTCACACGAGCATGCCTCATCTCGGCATACTCAGACGTTCATAGCGGCCGCCCGCTCGAGCGCGCCCCGCGCCTCGCTAGGGCTCACCGTGCCGCTGTAGCGCGCCCCTCAGCCAGACAGGCACCCTCCCGAGTGCCCTCGAGGCGCTTCATCGCCCGCGACGCGCCGCCGTGTGGCGCACGACGCAAACCAGAGACAGCTGCTCGGGTCGATCGAGCGCGACGCTCTACTTCGCTGCGTCGAACGACCTCTCGGCGCGCCACACATGCGCTGGCCGCCTTCGCGAGGCGCCCTGCGCCTCCTCTACACGCACCGCACGCCTTCGCGCCGCGTGCCTTTGGCGAGAAGGCCGCCTGCAGCCGCAGCCGCCTCTCCGCCTCTCACACGAGCATGCCTCATCTCGGCATACTCAGACGTTCATAGCGGCCGCCCGCTCGAGCGCGCCCCGCGCCTCGCTAGGGCTCACCGTGCCGCTGTAGCGCGCCCCTCAGCCAGACAGGCACCCTCCCGAGTGCCCTCGAGGCGCTTCATCGCCCGCGACGCGCCGCCGTGTGGCGCACGACGCAAACCAGAGACAGCTGCTCGGGTCGATCGAGCGCGACGCTCTACTTCGCTGCGTCGAACGACCTCTCGGCGCGCCACACATGCGCTGGCCGCCTTCGCGAGGCGCCCTGCGCCTCCTCTACACGCACCGCACGCCTTCGCGTCACGTGCCTTTGGCGAGAAGGCCGCCTGCAGCCGCAGCCGCCTCTCCGCCTCTCACACGAGCATGCCTCATCTCGGCATACTCAGACGTTCATAGCGGCCGCCCGCTCGAGCGCGCCCCGCGCCTCGCTAGGGCTCACCGTGCCGCTGTAGCGCGCCCCTCAGCCAGACAGGCACCCTCCCGAGTGCCCTCGAGGCGCTTCATCGCCCGCGACGCGCCGCCGTGTGGCGCACGACGCAAACCAGAGACAGCTGCTCGGGTCGATCGAGCGCGACGCTCTACTTCGCTGCGTCGAACGACCTCTCGGCGCGCCACACATGCGCTCGCCGCCTTCGCGAGGCGGGCCGCGCCTCCTCTACACGCACCGCACGCCTTCGCGCCGCGTGCCTTTGGCGAGAAGGCCGCCTGCAGCCGCAGCCGCCTCTCCGCCTCTCACACGAGCATGCCTCATCTCGGCATACCCAGAGACTCATAGCGGCCGCCCGCTCGAGCGCGCCCCGCGCCTCGCTAGGGCTCACCATGCCGCTCTAGCGCGCCCCTCAGCCGCACAGGCACCCTCCCGAGTGCCCTCGAGGCGCTTCATCGCCCGCGACGCGCCGCCGTGTGGCGCACGACGCAAACCAGAGACAGCTGCTCGGGTCGATCGAGCGCGACGCTCTACTTTGCTGCGTCGAACGACCTCTCGGCGCGCCACACATGCGCTCGCCGCCTTCGCGAGGCGGGCCGCGCCTCCTCTACACGCACCGCACGCCTTCGCGCCGCGTGCCTTTGGCGAGAAGGCCGCCTGCAGCCGCAGCCGCCTCGCCGCCTCTTACACGAGCATGCCTCATCTCGGCATACTCAGACGTTCATAGCGGCCGCCCGCTCGAGCGCGCCCCGCGCCTCGCTAGGGCTCACCGGGCTCCTCTAGTGCGCCCCTCAGCCGCGCAGGCGCCCTCTCGGGTGCCCCTGGGGCGCTACATCGCTATCGACGCGCCGCCGTGTGGCGCACGATGCAGACCAGAGGCAACGGCTTGAGCGCGACGCTCGACTCGGCCCCGTCGCGCGACCTCTCGATCGACCAACGCTCGAGTCGACAGTCGCTCGGCCTAACCTGCTTTGCTCTTGCAGCAGCAGGATCGCTTGTCTCTCGCTGCGCGCCTCCGCTGCCTTCGCGCAAGCAATCGTATCAAGGTGAGCAATCGAGAATAGCTAGCATATCCCGCCCGTAGCGACACACTTCGGTGCCGCTCAGCGAGCACTCGGTCGCCACAACGAACACTGACTGACCCACATGGACATCGGTCCTGTGGTGGGCGAACTCTCCGGAGGAGTTGTGCCCGGGACATGTGGGAGCGGCCCGTGGCGAGTGCCCCACGGGCCTTGCTATACGAGTGCCGCCCCGTCCCCTACCGGCCTAGCCGGGAGGTTCAGCGGGTTAGGGTCCCCGTCGGTACACCAACCCGACCGGCGCGGGACCCTATCGGAGCCCCGCGTTCCTCATATCCATTGAGCCCCACGTTGTGGACGGCGAGCTCCCTACTACTGATCACCCCAGCATGACGGGGATGCATGAATGGAGGATGGGAAGAAGAGGGCCCCGACCACTCGACACCACTGTGATTCTGTGTGAGCTCTGTGTCTTGATTTGCCACAACAAATTTACACTGCGGCATGGCGGGCAACCACTCGGCGAATCCCATCGAGCTCTCCTCGGACGACGACGACGACGAGGTCCTGCAGACCGCAAAGCGTCAGAACACCGATGGCGACGAGGCACTGGCGCGGCGATTTCAGCAGGAGGAGGAGCAGCGCTTTGGTGCGTCCAGCCTCGCCGACGATGAAGCTCTTGCTCGGCGCCTGCAGCAGGAGGAGCAGGATCCGAGCGACGCGGCATCGCTGGCGCTTGCGCAGCGGCTGCAGGCTTCGGAGAGGCTGCAGGCTTCCGAGAGCGGCCAAGCGGCGGGCCGCCACAGCGGCAGCCACTCAGCGGACCGCCAAAGCGGTGGCAGTGGCGCGGTCCGCTGCCGGTACGGCGCCTCGTGCAAGTTCCAGTACTGCCAGGGCCGCACGCTGGGCCGCTGCAAGTACCTGCACCGGTCGCGGGAGGAGGAGCGGCGGGAGGAGGAGGCCGAGGCCGCGCGTCGGATGGCGAGCCGCTCGCCGCCGCCGCGGGTGGTCTTTGATGCGGCAGCGACGCCTCTCTGGCTCAACCGGCTCGGCGACGACGCGGCAAAGGCGGGGGCCTAGACAGTCGGCCTTTGCACCCCCCCCCCCCCCCCCTCCCCGCTCATGCGTCTCACCACCCCACACACACGCTCATTGCGCTGGCGCTGCCTCGGCGATCCTCTCCGACCTCCGCCCTTCCTCTGTCCTCCTCGCAGGCGGCTCAGCTCGACGAGCCGTCGACGAGCTCAGGCGAGCCGTGCCGCGCCTCGCCGCCAGAGATCAGCTCCGAGCAGCTCGTCTGGTGGCAGCCATTCGTCCGCCGCGCCCTCTTTGGCACGTTCGGTGTCGACTACGACTTTGTGCGCAGGCGAGACACCGCGGACACCTCAACGTCCCTCAGTCCCCATCTCTCCTCCCACCGAGCTCCTCTATTCGCACTCGAGGGGGCCTCATTCGTGGGGGCAGGTCAGGAGTCACCCTCAAGGTCATCCTCTAGGAGAGTCATCACCATTGTCCCCTCTGCCCTACTTGTGTTGTGCGCAGGCTGCTGGCCGGCAGCCCGGCGACAGCCGAGCCGGGAGGCGTTGCCGTGTGCGTCAGTCCGGACGACCACACGCGCAACGCAGCGGGCGTCGACCACGCCACCCACGCGCCGTGGGCGGTCGTGTCGCCTCCGTTTTACGACGACGCGGCGTCGACGCGCGAGCGGAACCGCCTGAAGAAGGGGACGATGCACCCGAAGCTGTGGGTGCTGGAGATGCGCGGCGAGGGCGCAGCGGACGCCTTCCTTCGCGTCGGCATCTTTTCCTCCAACCTCGGCGCCTACGACTCGCAGGCAGCCCTCCCGCCCTCCCTCCACCACACCCTCCCCCCCTCACTCCACCACACCCTCGCGCCCTCTGACCCCACACCCTGCCCCCCTCCCTCCACCACACCCTCCCACCCTCCCTCCGCCACACCCTCCCACCCTCCCTTCTCCATCTCACCCTCCCACCCTCCCTTCTCCATCTCAACCTCCCACCCTCCCTTCTCCACCACACCTCCCGCCCTCCTCGCAGATCAACAACTGCTTCTGGGTGCATGACTTCCCCCTCCTCCCCGCCGACGCGGGGCCAGCCAGCCCCTCCCGCTTTGGCACAGACCTGCTTCGCTTCGTGGAGGCGCCCCCTCCTCCGGTAGTAGCAGTAGTAGGCAACTTTAACTCCAAGAGCTCCTCCTCCGGTAGTAGTCATAGTAGGCAACCTCAATTCCAAGATCTCCTCCTCCCGCGCGGCGACGCCATCGATGTCGATGCACAGTCGAGAGAACGGACAGGCAGACAGAGATCGACTAGTCAGACATGCAACCATCTCACCCCTCCCATCACACCACCCACCGGCAGGCGCTCCTCCGCCCGTCGGAAGAGCAGACGCTCGCCTGGCGGACAATCTTTGCGAAGTACGACCTCACCCCGCCCGCTGGCATGCACATCATCAGCTCCGTCCCTGGCGCCTACCGCACCGAGGACCACGGAGCGGACGCGCTGCGCCGCTGGCTCAAGCACACTCTGCGACAGCGTGCGCCGGACCGGCGGCCAGCGCGGGTCGAGTACTGCTTCTCGTCGATGGGCCGGCTCGAGAACAAGCTCGTCTGGCAGCCGCTGAAGCGGGCCCTCCTTGCCGGGGCGGCGGAGGGCGCGGAGGTGCGGCTGGTCTGGCCGGCGATGGCGACGATGCTGGCGACGATGGCGTCGAGAGAGTCGCGCCGCCAGTGGTGGGCAGACGCGCATGGCTTGGTGGGCCCGGGGGAGCAGTGGATCGAAGCCAACTGGGAGCCTCGCGCGCACTTCAGCCACCACATCATGCCTTGGCGGCACCGCGCAAAGACCTATCACCACGCCAAGGCCGGCCTGAGCTGCACTGGACGCAGGTGGTGTGGGCCGCGTCTCCTCAAGGCTGCATCTCGACGCGTAGGTGGCCGCCGGGCTGAGCGCGAGCGGCGAGCTGGTCTGGCTCTACCAAGGCAGCCACAACTGCTCTGGCGCCGCGTGGGGCAAGCGGCAGATGGACGCGCACGGCACATGGGAGTCGCTCTTCATGTCGTACGAGCTCGGCGTCCTCTTCATCCCGCCCTCGCCCCTCCCCGCCGCTGCCGCCCGCCGGATCGTGCCTTGGTGCACGCCCGCCAAGTACTACGGCCCAGGCTCGGTCGCCATGCTCCGCGAGTCGCGGACACGCACATCCTATCGTCACACTACCCGCCGCCCCAGGCACGGTGCCCTACTCCGCGGTCGCCATCGGAGGAGGCATGAGCGGGACCGGGCCCTTCAAGGCGGCGGCGGAGGCGGACGTGGCCGCAGCAGCCGCGGCGGCGCGCTCCTGCGGCGAGGCGCTCCCTCGCCTGCTCGGCTGCCCACTTGGCGAGCTGCCCGCCCCTCGGCCCTAGCCCTGACCCTGACCCGAGCCCTGACCCTGACCCCGACCCAGCCCTGGAACCATAGGCGAGCTGCGGTGGCTTGTTCGGCTGCGTGTCGAGTCTGAGCGCGGCGTCTCTCTGCTGCCGCGCGTGCCCGTGCCTCCGCCAAGCCGGAAGGGTTTGCTTCTCGACGCCGACTTCCACGGCGGCCTCGCTCGGGCGGGCCGCCACGCCCGCAGCGGGTGAAGGCGACGTGGCGTGCCCCGCCTATAGGCGACCTGTCGGGCTCCTTCCGAGGGGGGGAGTGGGAGCCGCTGCCTCAAGCGCCGGGCGGGTCCCTCCTGCTCGCCTCCGAGGCGGCCTCCTTCTCCCTCCGCGCCGCGCGTACAAGCGCGGACGCGGCGGTGCCGGTGCGCTTCTACCGCTGCGTCGGAGGGAGCGGGTTCGTCGCCGACCGCGTCGTCCTGCACAACAGCCCGGATTGGGCGGAGCCAGTGCTGAGCGTCGCCAGCCCGTCGGGAGCGGGCGACGGCGCGGCGGGAGGGCCGCCGGCCGGCTTCCTGGTGGCGTTGCTGGCGGCGGACGAGGCGGCGAACGCGCCGCTGCTGCGGCTCCTGAGCGAGGCGCGCGCCGTCGTCGACGAGCGCTGCTGGGGCGTGAGCGCGCTGCAGCCGTCGGCCATGTTTACCTCTTCGTGGCGCGCGGGGCTGTCGAGCGAGCCGGAGCCTCCTCAGCCGAGCCATTCCGACCTCGTCGCGCTCGAGTACGGCGTCGAGGCGCTGCCGTGCCTCCTCCTCCTTGCGCCCGACGGGCAGAGGTGCCTCGCGATGGCCTCTCCGCTCGAGGCCGCCGCCGCGGGCGGGGGCGGGGCGGTGCTCGCCCGTCCAGCTGTGAACAGCGTCTCTTCACACCTCCCGCTGTGAACAGGCGGGGTGGAGGCGCTGCTCGCCCGGTCCGTGCCCGAGCTGCAGCTCCTCCGGAAGCAGAGGGCCGAGCAACAGGGGGTGCGCGAGCTGATGGGCCACGTGCCTGCGCTCTACGCGGCGAGCGCGGCGCAGATGCTCCGCCACGAGGGCATCCGCCTCGTGGTGTGGCAGGTGGAGGGGTGCCTCAAGGCGGCCGTCAACGTGCAGCTGGCGGAGACGGCGGCCGCGGCGGGCGCAAAGCGGCACGACGCCTTTCAGGGCTACGGGTCGCGCGCGGTGCCGCTGCTGAGGCAGCTGTTGCGCGCCGGCGGCGCCAGCGACGAGGGAGTGGCGGCGCTGCGGAGCGACGCTCCGGCGACTTAGCGGGCGGCGCGGAACCTTCTCGTAGCCTTGTCTGACGCGTTGGCGACGCTTCCCGTAGGCGATCGCCTTTGTGAGCGACCAGGGCCACCGCTGCACCGACCCGACCGTCGGCGCGAGGGGCCGGCTCTCCGAGGCGGCGGTGCGGGACGTGGCGCGCAAGCTGGTGCGCCGCGTTGCCAACGAGGTCGGCGTGGGCGCGGAGGCGCTGGAGGGCCATGTGCGCTGGTACCACTCCTTCCTCTCGCCGGCGGCGCCTCGCCTCGCCGAGAGCGACCCGCGGCGCGGTCGGCGGGAGTGGTCGCGCGAGTACGCCCGGCCGTCGCCAGGGCAGCTCCACCACGCGATGGAGGACTCTGGCGTCCAGCTGTGAACAGCGTCTCTTCACACCTCCCGCTGTGAACAGGCAGCTCCACCACGCGATGGAGGACTTTGGCGTCCCCCCGGCGGCGACGCTGCTGGTGAGCTACGACGACCGCGACGAGGCGGCGGCGGACGCGGCTGGCGTCTCCTCCATCCGCATCGAGCAGCTCTGCATGAGCCCCGCGCCCCTCAGCCAGCTGCGGAGGCCGGGCGCGAGCGGAGGAGGGATGGCCGCGCCGGACGCCTTCGTGCCGCGGTGAAGACCGGTGTCGAGATCCACGGGCTGCTGTGCGTGTGCCCGGAGCAGTAAGTACTCTCCGCGCGGTTCCTTTTACCGAAGCGCAATCCGCCGGATGCGCGAATGTTGCGACACCGCAAACACGCGGACACACACGGGACCCACGCTCCACACGGAGAGGAGCTAGGGAAAAGTTAGCAAGAACGCCACAATCCGAGGTAAAACGGTCACCCAGGTATATAAGCTACGACGCGTAACACCAGACAGCGAGAGGGGCAGGGAGGAAAGGGGGAGAGAGGAAGCCAACGGCGATGCCACCAGCAGCAAGGGACACGATGAACAGGTAGACAACGGCCAAGGCGATGGCGAGGACGAGGAGACACGGGACGATGGCAGGCGAGACGAGGAGGACGGAGGCGAGGGAAGAGGCAGCGCCACAGTCGACGGAGGCGACAACGATGGAGAAGGGGAGGGAACGACAACGCGCACAGAGGGGATGAGGATATAAACTGGGACGACGCAGCGGAGGGGATAGACGAGGGAATCGAGGGACCGGAGGGCTTTCGCGACAGCGACGATGACGACGGAGGCAGGGGAGGAGACGGAGGGGCGACACGCAGGAGGAGCGAAATCGCGAACGGCCCGAGCAGAGAGGGCGACGGCGGGGCACGAGGGGGCAACGGAAACGCTACCAATGACGCGAACCGAGGCACGGGCGACGGCGGGGACGGGGGGGGCGACAGCGACGTCGAGGTTGACGCAACCGTATCGAGAGCGCCACCCAAAAGGAGGCGGCGAGGTTGACGCAACCGTATCGAGAGCGCCACCCAAAAGGAGGCGGACGGCCATGGAGGTCACCGAATGGAAGGCGAACGGCACGATACGAAAAGGCAGGGCGAGGCGGATGGAGAAAGAAGTGCCGAGGAGGCCATGGTGGAGGGGAGGGACGGGAGGACGAAAGAAGGGCGAGGAGGACGAGCGGCCCGCACAGGCCGCGAGCAGACAGCGCCTGCTGGCCATTTCGAGACATTCGCAAAGAACGCTAGCTACATGGGAGGGCTTCGTGAAGGATGGATTTAAAAACATTCGAACAAAGAAGAGGCGACGGGAGGAACCGGCAGAGGATGCAGTGACGTGACACACACACACACACACACACACACACACACACACACACACACACACACACACACACACACACACACACACACACACACACACACACACACACACACACACACACACACACACACACACACACACACACACACACACACACACACCGCTCACCCACGCGCAACGGGCCTTGCACTTTGAATGCCGTGGGGCTCCTGTCGTTAGACGTGGAGACGCGAGGGTTGCCCCCCCTTGCCCCACCACCTCGTGTGTGTGGAGAAGTTTACCTTACCTTACCTTACCTTACGACGCGTCGTATCAAACTAAGCTGTCCCGGTGCTTGGTCAGGGCTCAGGCGCGTGTGTTGCAGAGCAAAGGCAGATGCACCTGCCGGCGTGCGATGTCTCAATGCGCGAGGCATTTGAGGCGGGCTTTGGCGGCTGCCCGACCTATTCGACGGGTTATGAAAACCACCGCTACTGCCACATCGACAGGGACACCATCAGCGACCTGCCTGTTTTCGGAGTTTGCTTTGAGTGCGAGCGGTGCACAGACCCCGTAAACAGTGAGACGCCACCTTATTGCGCTGAACCGTATTGCGCTGGGAGGACGCACTCGTGGGAGATGCGCTGCTCCTGGAACGGCTGCGGCGGCTGCTCGGAGTGCTATCATTTGCTCCCGCTGCCAGCATTGCCCCTGCCGCTGCAGTGGCCGCCATCGCTAGTGTCATCCTCGCCCCTGCCGTCGATTGCGAGCGAGATTCAAAGTGATTCATCGATCAGCAGCATTTTTCCCATTCCCTTGAGCGCGGATATGGATGGGGATGTGGAGGGCGATTACGCCTCGGGCGAGTCTGAGTATGGCTCTGGTCCGCCGGCAGAAGAGCCTTCGGCACATTCTAGCTCTGACGATAGTTCCTCCGCCGCAGCCCCGCCGACAGCAGCCTCTAGCTCGAAGTATAGCTCCGGCGACCCACCGGCACCGCCGACAGCAGACTCTAGCTCGGGGGAGGCCACATTCCCATCGTCCGGCAGCCGCATCGCCACGGTCGGCCAAGACAGGGCGCTGCGCGTGTGGGACGCCTCGAACCTGTCGTCGCCATTGATGGAGAGGCTGAACGCACGCAGCGAGTATATTCGCTCGATCGCCTTCTCGCCCGACGGCACTCGCATCGCCATGGGCAGCACCGACAAGGTGCTTTGCATTTGGGACGCCGCCTCGGACCTGACGTCGCCCATGCTGGAGAAGCTTGACGCACACGGTAGCTCCATTGCCTCAGTGGCCTACTCGCCCGACGGCAATCGCATCGCCACGGTCGGCTGGGACTATGCGATGCGCGTGTGGGACGCCTCGAACCTGTCGGCGCCATTGTTGGAGAAGCTGAACGCGCACAGCTACTACATCAACTCAGTGGCGTACTCGCCCGACGGCAGCCGCATCGCCACGGTCGGCTGGGATTATACGCTGCGCGTTTGGGACGCCGCCTCGGACCTGACGTCGCCCCTGCTGGAGAAGCTGGACGCACACAGCAACTACATCAACTCGATCGCGTACTCGCCCGACGGCACCCACATCGCCACGGTCGGCTGGGACTATGCGCTGCGTGTGTGGGACGCCTCGGACCTGACGCCCCTGCTGGAAAAGCTTGACGCGCACAGCTACTACATCAACTCGGTGGCCTACTCGCCCGACGGCAGCCGCATCGCCACGGTCGGCTTTGACAAGGCGCTTCGCGTTTGGGATTCCTCGGACCTGACGGCGCCACTGCTGGAGAGGCTCGATGCGCATGTCGACTACATCTACTCGCTCGCCTACTCGCCCGACGGCAGCCGTATCGCCACGGTCGGCGGCGACAATGCGCTTCGTGTGTGGAACGCGTTGGACCTCACATCGCATCTGCTAGAGAGGTCGAACGCGCACAGCGACAGGATCGGGTCGGTCGTCTTTTCCGCAGGGTGAGACACTTAGGCTCATGCTCGCGATTCGCGCACCCCGACGACACTGAGCTGATCAAGTACGTACGCCACGGTGGCCGGAAACACCTCAGAGTCTCTGGACTCTGCTCCAAGTTGAGAAGTACGAGCTTGCCGTTGCGCCTGTACGACTTGGCAATGATGGTCTGTGCGGGTGCGACGGCTGTCGCCGGGTACCCGCTGGCTATGAGTACGCTCGAGTCCGCTGTGGTGCCCTTTGCCGTGCTCCCGAGGCTGCCCTCGTTGCGCCTGCTCCGACCAGCGCCGCGGGCGCGGCCGCGGCTCGTTCGTGCGGCTCATCCTGACCAACATCGACGCGGCGCCCTCCCGCGCCCTCTCCGCCAGCCCACCGCCAACCCTCTCTGAGCCTCCTGCATATGCACCGGATCCCATACGCCATAGGCGGCACGTGCTCTGGGGAGGGGGAAGGGCTGGAGCGGCCGCGCAAGGGGGGCCTTGCTAGTTTGCAATACCGCCTCGCGTGGTCCATCTGGTCACCTATCGCGCGTATCGGTACGGCTCTAGAGGACTGCGGGTTGTGTCTTGTGACCTCCCATCTCCTCATCTCTTTCCCACCTTAGGCGGGGCGGGCGGTGGGCGTGCGGGGTAGCCGTCACTTTCCTGCCTCGCAAGAGAGAGATTTTTGAAGACCATTTCTTGTTGGCCTCGCAAGGGCGGGGACCGGGGAGGCTGTCCCGGAAAGTGAGACACGCCGGGCAGCGTGGCGCATCTACTTAACCTCCCATACGTGTTTGTTTTCTCCTTTGTGGTCTCAGCTCCTCATCTTTTTCCCACCTAGGCGGGGCGGTGGGCGTGTGCGCGTTGCGGTACCTCAAAAAAAGAAACAGAGCTCCAACTTCCTTCTCTCCAGGCCGCCGGAGCGTCCAGAGGTCCTCAACCATGTCCTCAACCGAGGATCTCTCCGCCGAGCCATGCGGCATGGACCCGTCGATGGTTGTGTCGATGGGCGACGAGCGCTGCGAGGGCGGTCAGGGTGTCTTGTCAAAGGCCTGCCGTCCAGAGGTCCGCCGTGCGATCGAAGCCAACCTGCTGTTGGAAGGCTTTGCACACATCTTTACGCAGCAGCGGCTTCTCCACCGGCTGGCCAAGGCCTCAAAGCCAGTGCAGTCGGCGCAGTCCTTGGAGGAGGGCGAGTTGCCCGTCGCTCACGGCAGCTCCATGCTCGCAGTGCAGGCCTCCTGCTCCGAGTCGCCCTTTCCTTTGCAGAGCCTCGCCACGCCGTCGCATCACCGCTTCATCAGCTACAACTGGAGCGGGTCGCGCCAGAGCAAGTGGTGGACGCTCATCTACCTGCTCAACTTTCGGAAGTTCTTCTCGGCCACCGTCGCCGGCTGGGTCGCGGCGATGGGTGTAGGCGTCCCGCTTTTTGTGTGGTCCGGCCCCGCAAGGGCGTGGGTCTCCTCATCGCTCGAGCCGCCAAACGTCTGGGCGATGTACAACACCATGTACGTGGTCATCACCCTCGTCGCCGCCCTGCTGCTGGTCTTTGGTCAGGTTCTGCCCTTCTCCGACCGGCGCCCGGTCTTCTTAGACCGCCTCTGCATCTCCCAGACCGACCGCAAGCTGCGCGAGGAGGGCGTGGCCGCCATCGGCGCCATCCTCCAGAAGACGGAGAGGCTCACCGTGCTCTGGTCCGAACGCTACTTCGAGCGGCTTTGGTGTGTGTACGAGGTCGCCACCTTCATCTGCCGGCACGGCGACGCGGCCAGCATCGAGATCATGTTCCCGACTCAGGGCATCCTGCTCGTGCTCATCATAGCCAGCGACCTGCTACGGCACATCGTCAATCTGCTCTGCTGCTCCGTCGGCGACATCGTCGACCCGAGGACGGCGGCCTACTCCGTGCTCGCCGCGCAGGAGACGCTCTACGCGTCCTTCTGCGTCGTGGTGCTCGCGCTCGGCATGCTCAAGTTTGCTCGGGAGCGGCAGCTCATCCACCGTCAGCTGCAGACCTTCGACGTGCGCGAGACGGCGTGCACCGTCGAGGGGGACCGCCCCATCGTGCTCGAGAGCATCTGCAGCGAGGTCGAAGGCTACCTCCGACGCAACGGCCTCCCGCCTGTGCGCGACGGGGACCAGCTCGACGTCTTCAACCAGCTGGTGCGCACAAAGATCGCCACGCGCGTCCGCGAGATCAATGGCTGCTGGTGGCAGACGCTGCCAGTGCCCATCGCGGGCTACTACGCGTTTTGCGTGTGCATCAAGATCCTGTACTCGTCGTGGCTGCTCGACGTCGCGTGTCCAGACTGCCAGCCGGACGGGCACAAGCTCGTCTTTGTGTCGCCGTCGGGAGTCTTCCTCGAAAATACGCTGCCGTCGTTCCTCGCCGTCTATACCGTCCTCGGCCTGCGCCCGCTCTGGCGAAGCATCCACCCGCTCGGCCTCTACGCCACCCTCGCGCTGTTGGCCGTCGGCCTCCTACGCCGCGCTCCTCTCGCGAATCCACGTCACGGTCGCCGCCGGCGTCGAGCACGGCGGACTTGCGGTGGTGCTCCAGGCGGCACTCTCGGTGCTGCTCCTGGTGCTCTACTTTGTGCCGACCATCGGCCGCAGCCTGCGCAGATGCGGCCAAAGAGGGGGTGGTCGGAGAGGCTGTACATCTTCACAGTAGGCATAGGTAAAGAGAGGAGTGGCTAGTTCACATTTCAAACAGATAGGGCCGATAAGATTCACAGACCTTGCTACTGTATTGAGAAGAAGATACATCCTATGGCGCTGATGCGACAAAGGACACGTTCACCTTGATCAACAGTCTCGGCTTGCTACTCCATAATGAGGGTCACTTGGATGATGACCACGATGGCACACACCAGTCGACTCGCATCGGTTGCCTCCATGAACGGTGGAGCTATCCTTCGTACTCGGCAAATAGAAGAAAAAGAAAATCGGCGCGTGACATGGCAATCCACTGCCGCCGGGCCCACACTGCCCTTGCCCGTTCTCCGTGTAGAGCCTTGTGTCCCGGTCAGACAGTGTTTATGGTCTTTGCGCTGCCACTGCTGCTGTCGCTGCCCGCGGCTTGGCAGACCTCGCCACCACCGGCACTTGCACCGCTGTCGGTTGACTCGCCGCCGGTGCTGCCGTCACCTCCCTCCCCGCTCCCGCTGCCGCCTCCGCCATCACCTCCGCCTCCGCTGCCGTCGCCTCCGATCCCGAAGGAAGATTATTCCCACACCGTCAACGCTAGCAGCCCGTGCTCCCTCACCGACGGCGGCTCGTGCGCCGTGTCGCCAAACTACCCGAACAGCTACGGCAACGAAGAGGCGTGCACCATCAGCGGCGTGCCGCCGGTCGGGCTGGAGGTGGTCGGCTTTGAGGTGGAGGCGGAGGGCGGCTGCCGCTACGACTACCTCACCGTCAACGGCACGAAGTACTGCGGCTCCTCGGGGCCGCAGGGCGTGGTGGCGGAGGACGGCGTCATTGAGTGGCGATCGGATGTCGTCGAAGTCAGGTCGGGCTGGAAGGCGCGCCCGGGCTCTCTCGCCCTCCCCTTCCTTCTCCCCTCTGATGCCCCGCCTCCCTCTGCCGTCAGATCTGCTGGGCGATTCGGCCGCCTTCGCCACCTTCACCACCGCTCTCCCCGCTTTTACCGCCTTCACCGCCTTCGCCGCCTTCACCGCCTCCACTGCCGCCTCCACCGCGGACCTTGCCGCCGCCACCGCCTCCACCGCCTCCATCGCCGTCCCCCCCGCCACGACCGCCTCCACCGCCTCCACCGCCGCCCTCCCCGCCACTACCGCCGCTGGCCCCGCTGCCGCCGCTGATCCCCGGCTCTGTCGGCGCGGCGACCGAGGCCGAGCTCCGCAGCCTGATCGCGGAGGCTGCTGCCTGGCCCCCTGCCGACGTCTCAATCTACCTGCCGCCCGGTGCGGACTTCAAGCTGGGCAGCTGGATCCACTGCGGCTCCGACATCAAGGTGACCGTTGCGAGCAGCGGCGAGGGCGCGACGCTCGACGGCCAAAGGTCGACCGGGCTCTTTAAACTCACGCGCGGCTGCAGCCTCACCCTGCGGGGGCTGACCCTCGTCAACGGGAGGGCATACAAAGGCGGCGTTGTGGAGGCGAGGGGCGCAGGCGACGTCGAGATCATCGACTCAATTGTGATGGACTGCTCTGCTGATTATGTGCGTCGCGTAGAGCTAGCAGCCCGCCCTGCAGCCGGGTGAGATAGAGAGGGCCACGGCTGCCTCACCCCGCTCTCTCCTCGCAACCGCAGTCCGGCGGCGTCGTCTACGCGAGTATCAGCGGTGCGGTCTCGCTAAGGGGCTCCACCGTGACGGGCTGCTCGGCTGGCCATGTGCGCCGCGTAGAGCTAGCCGCCGCCCTGCAGCGCCGCACGGCAGCGAGGAGAGATATGGAGAGGGCCACGGCTGCCTCACCCCGCTCTCTCCTCGCAACCATAGGGCGGCGGCGGCGTCGTCTGGGCGTGGGACAGCGGTGCGGTCTCGCTAAGGGGCTCGACCGTGACGGGCTGCTCTGCTGGCGTTGTACGCCGCGTAGAGCTAGCCGCACCCCTGCAGCGCCGCACGGCAGCGGGGCAAGAGATAGAAGGGCCACGGCTGCTTCACCCCGCTCTCTCCTTGCAACCGCAGGAGGGCGGCGTCGTCTTGGCGAAGGACAGCGGTGCGGTCTCGCTAACCAGCTCGACCGTGAGGGACTGCTCGGCTGGCCATGTGCGCCGCGTAGAGCTAGCAGCCTATGCGCACGTCAGCGAGGCGAGAGATAGAGAGGGCCACGGTTGTCTCACCCCGCTCTCTCCTCGCAACCGCAGTTCGGCGGCGTCGTCGCCGCGCTTACCAGCAAGTCCCTCTCCATCGCGGGTGTCGACTTCATCGACAACAGAGCGGACTGGTCAGGCTCGGTGCTGTACCTGGAAGGCCTCAAACAGCCTTTCTCCATCAGCGACGCCTCCTTCACCGGCAACGACGGTGTCACGATACAGACTCTCAACTCGCGGATAGACTGGGGGTGCCGCTCGGGCCGCTGGATGCCGGCCGAGGGCGCCTTTAAGGGCAACTTCAGTGTCCCCGACTGCTACCCTTGCTCCGCTGGCTACTATGGGGCAACGAGGGGCCTCACCAACTCCTCCTGCAGCGGCCAGTGCATCAGGGGCCACTATTGCGAGGAGGGGGCCGCCGACCCCGAGCCCTGCCCAGTCGGCACTCGCATGCCAGCCCTCGGCGCGGCGAGCAGCGACAGCTGCATCCCGTGCGCCCCCGGGCAATACCAGCCAGACAGCGGGCAGAAGGACTGCCTCACCTGCTCCGCGGGCTCCTTCTCTCCCGACGTTGGCCTCGCCGACTGCGACCCCTGCCCGCGCGGAGGCTACTGCGAGGAGGCGGGCGCCGCCACCCGCATGGTCTGGGAGCCCTGCCCCGCGGGCAGCTTCAACCCGGCCAACGGCTCCAACTCGAGCGCCGCGTGCGAGCTCTGCCCCGCCGGCACCGCGAGCGCAACGCGGGGCGCGGAAAGCAGCGACACGTGCGCGCCGTGCCGGCCGGGCACTGTCGCCGCTGCCGCGGGTCTCGCCGAGTGCGCCAGCTGCGAGCCCGGTACTTTCTCTGTCGCCGGCAGCGACTCGTGCAGCAAGTGTGCCGTCGGCAGTTATGCCGCCAATCCCGGTTCGGGTGAGTGCATGCGCTGCCCCCACCCCCTCAGTAGTGAGAGTGGCAACGTCACCTGCTCCATCTGCAAGGAGGGCTTCTACTTGAAGGACTCGAGCGCCAACCCGGCCGACATCTTTGAGAACCCGACCGAGCACTGCAAGTCGTGCCCGCCCAACGCCAACTGCAGCGCTGGCACCGCCCTCCAGACCCTCGGCGTGGACGCCGGCTACTGGCGCGCCTCCGACGCCACCTCAGAGCTTCACAAGTGCGACGTCTCGAAGCACTGCAGCGGCTCGGGCAGTGCGTCGGAGGCGGAGGTGGAGATGACCTCTGGTCCCCGCCTCGCCGATTCTGGCCCGGGCTGCGACACGGGCCACACCGGCCCGCTCTGCGAGTGGTGCGAGAGCAATGAGCAGTATTTCAGCAGCGCGGAGCGAGGCTGCGTCGAGTGCCCGACGAAGGGGCGGTTCGGCATCCTGGCGGGAGTCATTGTCGCTCTCGTAGGAGTGGTCCTCCTATTGTACCGCGCTCTCACCCGCATCGAGGCGTGGGGCCGCTTCAGCGCACGTCTTGACATCGTCGAGTCGCAGGTTGGCGACCCCCTCCGGCCACCACATGCGGACACGCAACCCCGACCCTCTTGCACGTTACTTGCCGCAGGCTGTCCGCCTCATAGGATGAAAGTAGCTCGTCGCTGCACCAGGTTAGCGTGTGTGGCAACACGTATGCACCTTGCCATAGGTCGGCTTCCAGCCCAAGTTCAAGGTCCTGGTCAGCTTCTACCAGATCGCTGGGTCGCTAGGCCCCGTCTACGGCGTCCGCCTCGACGAGGCCTTTACGCGCTGGACCAAGTTTATGGACTCGCTCAGCTTCGACGTTATCGGCCTCACCTACCCGGGCGCGTGCATGGGCACGATGCGAGTCCGGCTCATGGTCGCCGGCTTGTGGCCTCTCGTTGCCATTTTGCTTGGAGGCGCCGTCCTCGCCTGCCACGCCCTCGCAGTTTGGCTTATGTCTGGTCGCGCCGATGACCTCCGTCGCGACCTTGTCCGAGCCACGCTTCGCCGCATCCTCTACTGGGCCATCCTCGTCGCGTACCTCGTGCTCCCCTCGGTCTCTCGCACCATTTTGAAGGTGGAGCAGTGCGAATCGTTTGCCTTCAACGACATTACCGGGGAGAGGCGCAGCTACCTCGTGGCCGACCTCGACGTGCTCTGCAGCGCCGACGGCGAGTACCGCGACCTCGACGCCTACTTTTGGGCCTTCTTCGTCCTTTGGCCGGTGCTCATCCCGCTAGCTTTCCTCGCGCTCCTCCTTTCGATCCGCTCCGAGGTGCAAGCGCAGCGTGTCACCCCGCTTGCCCGAGCAAGCCGCTTCCTCTGGCGCGACTACAACCCGGATATCCTCTTCTGGGAGGTCGTCGACATCGGCCGCAAGCTCTTCCTCGCCTCGCTGGTGCTCTTCATTGATACCGAGTACGGATCGAGCAAGCTCCTCCGCCTCGTTGTCGCGTCTGTAGTCTCGGGCCTCTATCTCGCCGTTCTCGCCCTCGCCCGGCCCTTCAAGCGCGCCGACGACCTCTACCTCGCGTGCACCGCCAGTCTCTTGCTCTTGTGCTGCTTCATCTCGGGCACCGTGATTCAGCTCTGCCCGGATCCGGGCGCGAGTGCCGCTTACGAGAACATGTGCTACACCCTCGTCGGCTTCAACAGCGCGCGCGGAGCGAGTGAGTTTGTCATCGTGCTCACTGCCGCAATGCTCGCCACGTCGTTGCTCGTTGTTCTCTTCAAGACAGTGAACGCCGTCCGCGCGCCCACCATCCGCCTCGCCTCCACCGGTCGCCCTCCCGCCCTCGAGCTGTGCCCCGAGTGCCACTTCCACGGCTTTATCTCACACGCGTGGGGGACCGGCCAGGACCAGACGCACACCGTCGTTCGCCAGTTGCAGCTGCTGATCCCCGGCGTTCGGATCTGGCTCGACGTCGATAACCTCGACGACGTGGGAAGGCTCGAGGAGGCGGTGGCCGATGCGATGGCCTTTCTCGTCTTCCTCAGCGCCGGCTACTTCAAGAGCTTCAACTGTCGCCGCGAGCTGTACGCTGCGCTCGCCTCGAACCGGCCCTTTATCCCCATCTTCGAGGCCGACGCGGCGAAGGGCGGCGCCTCGATCGAGGCGCTGAAGGCCGAGTGCCGCAAGAGCTGCGTCGAGGTCGCCCCGCCCGCCTACCCTTCCTACCGCGGGCCGGACGAGATGCTCGCGCGCGTGTTTGAGGAGGCGAAGCCGATCGTGTGGGTGCGGGTGAACGCCTTTCAGCTCGAGTCGCTCAAGTCCATCGCGCTGCGCATGCTGCTGCACTCTCCGTTCTACGCGAGCCGCCCGGCCGAGCTTGCTGCAGGTCTGACGGTGCCTGGTGAGGCAGAGCCCGTCGCCTTCAGCGGCCCCGTGACTATCCTCGTGTGCTGCGGCAACAAGGGCGCCTTTGGCGTAGCAGACGAGGTCAAGGCGGCGGCGGGGGAGGGGGGCGGCTCTGCTGCATCCGAGACGGTTGTGATCCGCGATGCGGAGGAGGCGCTTGAGGGAGCCAGCACGGCCCCTCTCTCAGGACACTTCGTGCTCCTGCTCTACCTGAATGATAAGACCTTCCTCGATGCGGGCGGCACCGTCGCTCGCCTCGTGCAAGCCGCGATGGACCGGCGCATCGCCATCGTGCTTGTCCACGAGCAGGACCCTAGCTGCGGTGGCCGCCCGTTCCGGCACTTTGTTCAGCAGACGCCGCAGGTCCTGCAGCGGTCGCCGTACAAGCTCTACGACACGGTGGCGGTGCCGCTCTACCCGTCGGAGGAGCACCGCCGGGTGAGCCTGCGCCTCGTGCTGCGTGGCATGGGAGCGGCACCGTGCAGCGCGGGGATGCTGCGGCGGCAGTGGCAGCTCCTTCGCCGCCGCATCGCGGTGGCGCGTCTCCGAGATGCCGCCCACGCGCGGTTCAGATATGGGCTGCAGTACCCTGAAGGACCACGGCAGAAGTCACAGAAGGGCGGCGTGCAGGAAGACTCGAGTGGCGAGCTGTCTGTTGAGTGCGGCCCACGCATCCTCCCATGAGCACCCACCGCCAAAATTATTGTGCGTGTGACTGTATCATGTACACACACCGAAACAGCGACTCAACAAGCGGTGAGCGCGCGCCCCCAGCGCACAGGACACGACGCCACAGGCACATGGGGCCCAACTCGGCGACACGGACGTGTGGGCCCTGTGTGGCGTGTGCGGCTGTGCCTTTGGGCGCGCGCCTCTGACAGTCGGCGCATGGTGAGGCATGAGCGTGTGGCACCATCAACGTCATTCGTCTGGTGACACCATGCACTACAGGTACCCCCCCCCCCCCCCCGCCAAAAGTCTCATCGGCGCGCCCCCTCCTCCCGCACCACCGCCTTGGCCCGAGCAGCAGCCACAGCCGCGCGCCTCGCCTTGGCGGCGGCGACCGCAGCCTCGGCCAACGCCTGTGCTTCTGCCGCCGCCGCGAGCGCCGCCACCTCCTCTGCATCGGCCTCTGCCGCGGCCGCCTCCGCCTCCCTCAGCGCCGCAGCCTCCCCCGCGGCCTCTTCCTCCTCCTCCGCCTCCTCCTCCTTCGCCTCCTCCTCCTCCGCCTCCTCCGCCTCCGCCTCCTCCGCCTCCGATTGCGAGTCCGACTCCACTGACTCCACTGCCGCCGGCGCAAACGCCGTCTCCGCCGTGATGCCGAACCGAATCCGCTCCTCGTGGAGCGTCTCGAGAAGCCTGATCAACCCCTCCCTGTCCAGCTTCGCGGGCTTGGCTGCGGCCGCCTCGTCCACCACCGGCGCCTCGGACTCCTGCGACGGCCCAGCGCCGCCGCCCCCGCAGCCCTTCTTCTTCCTCTTGCCCTTCTTGCCCTTGGCGCGCTTCTCCGCCTCGACCTCCGCCAGCAGCTCCTTGGCATGCCGCGCCGCCTCCGCCTCCGCCTCCGCCCTCTCCGCCTCCGCCGCCGCCCTCTCCGCCGCTCTCTCCGCCTCCCGTGCCGCAATCTGCTCCTCGAGGGCGCGAACACAAGCGGCGTTACCCTTGGCAGCCTGCAACGCCGAGCGCAAGCCGACCTCCGTAGCTGCACCGGCCTCGAGCAAACGCTTCACGATGGAGGGATGCTTGCCGCCGGCGGCGTACGTCAGCGCGGGGAGACCGCAGCAGCTGATCAGGTTGACATCCGCGCCGCCCCGCAGCAATATCTCGACCACTCCCTCGTGGCCTTCGCGGGCGGCGAGCATCAGAGCACTCCATACGCCCTGATGGTCGATCGCCGCACCACACCGTACAAGCACTTCGACGATCTGCTCGTGGCCGTTGTTGGCGGCGTTCATCAACGCTGTGCCACCTGCGCTGTTTTGCTGGTTGACATCCGCCCCGTGCCGCAGCAGCATATCGACCAGCTCAACGTGCCCGGAGCCGGCGGCGTTCATCAGCAGCGTCCACCCGTACTCGTCAATTCCAGACTCAAATGTCGCGTTGACTAGCCCGCCGCCGCTGAGCCAAGCCTGCACCGCCGCCTTGTCACCGTCACTAACCGCGTCCACGATATCCTCAGGAACCAAGAAGCTGCTCAGCACCACCACCGCCCCGCCCGCTGCCGCCTCGCGCCGCGCCGCCGCCACCTCCTCGAGGTGCTTCCGGAAGGCAGTGACGCACTCGGTGTGGCCCATCTCCTTGGCAAACTGCAGCGCAGTCTTGCCGTCCTTGCGTAGCGCCATGTCTGCGCCCGCGCGCAACAGGCGGAGCACGACGGCGGGGTGGCCGTAGAGGGCGGCGCACATCAGTGGGGTGCCGTCCCTGCCGCTGCCGTCGCTCACTCGAAGGTTGACATCCGCGCCGTGGAGCAAGAGCGTGTCGATTACCAACCCGTGGCCCATCCTCACGGAGAACATCAGCGCAGTGCTGCCGTCGTGCAACTGATGGTTCACATCTGCGCCGTGCTGCTGAAGAGCCTCGACCACCCGAACGCTGCCCTTCTCGGCGGCACATGTCAGCGCAGTGCTGCCGAAGTTGTCCGTCTGGTCGACGTCTGCGCCGACCAATGATTGACATCTGCGCCACGCTTCAGCAGAAGCTCGACGAGCTGCTCGTGGCCGTAGCCGGAGGCGAGCACCAGGAGCGTACAGCCACTCATGCCGTCATACTCGAACCTTGTGTCGACTCTCCAACCGTCGTTGAGCCACAGCCGCACCGGGCCGACCTTGCCTCTCGCGGCCGCCGTCAGGACGTCCTGCGGTACCTCAGCATCCGTCGGCGGAGGGTTTGGCGCGCGGCGCGAGGCCGGAGAGGCGGTGGGGCGAGGCATACGTGTTGTGTGTGTGCGGCAGTAAAATTCTTTTTGTCTTGAACCCAGGCGCCTCCGTTTCGTTCACGTGTGTCCGAGCGCCTCGCTCTGCAGGCACCGATGGTCCCCCTGGGGGGCTCAGTTGAAGATCGGTGTCTTGAACCGTAACCCGATACCGATCTCAAATTCTTTCATCCTGTTTTCTCAGTGCCCTTCGCCTCGTCTGTGAACACCATGCACTAGTACTCCCCCCCCCCCCCCCCCTTCTCCCCCTCCGCCCCCCTCCTGCCTCTCCCCCTCACGGCATCGCCCTCGGCATCGGCTGCAGCTCCAGCCGCTTCGCGTTCGACTCGACAGCCGCCTTGTCCGTCGCCGTCTTCGCCTCAGCCGCAAACGTGGCCAGCGCCGTCTCCGCGGCCGCCTGCGCCTCTGCCGCCGCCTTCTGCGCGGCGGCGGCCGCCGCCTCCTGCGCCCTCCCCGGCACCGCCCTCGCCTCCGCGATCGCGCTGTCCGCCGTGGTCGCCGCCACGGCCGCCGCCTCGACCGCCCTCTCCGCGGACAGCCTCGCGCCCGCCACCGCGTCTTCCGCGGCGGCCCTCGCCGCCACCTGCGGGGGGAGGGGGGGGAGGGGGGGGGGGGAGGGCGGGGGGGCACGGGACGCCAGCCGGTCGGCGAGGTGGAAAGGGGAAAAAGGGGGGTCAGGGCCCGGGAGGGGCGGGGGGGGGGGACCCCTCCCCTGCCCCTTTGCCAGGGTCTCCGGCGCCCGGTCCGCCTCTGCCCGGTCCGCCGCCGCCCGCATTGGGGCTCCGGGGGCCCTCTCCTCCTCCGCCTGAAACAGGGCAAAACCGGCTCACCTTCTCCGCTCTCCTGAATGTGGCAGGGTCTACTCCGCATCCCCGCCGTCGAAACCGCCAGGTCGGCGCAATCTTTTTTCCTCTCCTCTCCTCTCCTCT